CGGATACTTTGGTCAGTCTTCAAGTACCGTTCCNGAAAATCCTCCTCAGATTCCTTGACCTCGACGATGCGTGCGGCGGTCTCGGTTCCGGTGCCTTGCCTTTGCCTTTTCCCTTGGTGGTTTCAAACTCCTCAAGGGCTCGACGGATATACTCCCACTTGTCTTCATCGGCCGTGTCCAGTGTGCGTATCTTGGTCGGAGCGGCCGGTTGCTTCTTCATGTCCGGGAGCTCGTAGTAACCCGTGTACTGAGGGTTGCGACACTTCTGGCCAGTCGTAAACTTGTGCTTGCCGCAGCGGAAACAGAGCTTCTTGTCGAGCCATTCGAGTTGTTCCTTGGAGAGCTTCTCCGGCTTGTGCATTGCGTCGACATCCATGGCATTGGGGTCCCGTGGGGGGCGACTGGTCGTGTGCTGCTGCGACGACGACTTGGCCTGATTTCCACGAGTTTCCATTTCCAGTTTGTGCACCCAGTCCAGGTGGTGTTCCCATTTCGTCGGAATCAGCATCGGGTTGACTTGCCGCATTGCTGTCATAACCGTAAGGATCTGCGAGTTCTTGCCGGCCTGGTTGTCGATGCGTCGGATGAGTTCTACATCAGCGTACCCAGACTTTGATGCGTAGCGGCGGAAGTTTTCGGCAAACTGAATGACGGTGGAGTGAGTCTTCGAACACCATTCTTCGAGGGATGTTTGTGCTGTCTTCTCCGGAGCCAGTTGACGATAGCCTGCCTTGAGTCGGTTGGTGAAGTCGGCCCAGGTTCCAAGGGCTCCACCGTTCGATGCCGTCTCGACGTAGTCCTCGACATAGTCGTGCGCGCCGCCTTCCAAGTACATGAGGGCCAGGGTAATCTTGTCGTCGTCCGTGGTAATGTTCTGAACACGGAACCAAAGGCCCATCTTCTGTAACCATTGTTCGAGAGTGATGTCCGAGCCTTTGTTGCCCTTGTACTTGGGTGGTTCTGATGCCTTGATACGCGAGGCCTGTGATATGACAGGGACCGGGGCGGTACTGATACCAAGCGTGGTGCGGGTCGACAGGCCTTGCTCCAACTGTGTAAACTTGGCCGCGAGTTCCTTGTACTGTTTGACGAGCTCCATATTGTTCCGGTTGAGAACCTCCAGGTCCACTTTGATAGTGACCAGTTCCGCCTTCAACTGTTTGTTCTCTTCCACAGCTTTGAGAGCGAGGTTCCCAGCAGTGTCAGCCTTGGTGTGAAGGCCTGTCATAGACGCGTCCAACTCTTTGAAGGTGGCATGGGTGGTGTCACACTCATTGAGGAAATCGTTCCGATGTTCATATATCTTGCCACCGAGGACGTTGTAGACATTGACCACTTCGCGCCGTGTGATGTCCCTTGTTACGGAGATAGTCCAGTCGACGTAAGCCTGGTTGTTGATGCCTAAGCTATCTGCCGAGGCACGGATAGTGTTTTCCAACGAGTCGTATTCAACACCGGCGTAGATCCATTGAATTTCCGGGTACGCTTGAAGCGTGGCAGTGGGTGAAGCCGGGTGGGTGTGTGCCTGTGATGGTCCCGGGTGATTGGATGGGCCCGGGTCGTCTGACTCAAAGTCATCCTCTGCCAGAAGGGCGTAATGAGAGCCTGAAGCCATTGCAAAAGGTATCTGAGATACAAACTAAACGACAATCCAATCTAAGTACCCAAAATGTTCTAACTCGACCAGAGCTTTGACAACACGCTCAAAGTTTTGTCCAAGTCCACTAAACTTGACCTTCCCAAACTCCTTACAGAACCAATCAATGTTCTGTTGCTGACTGCATGTCCACGAAGAGCCGTTCTCGATGTTGTCGAGTATCCACTCGAGCCTGTCGCCGATGCGCTGAAGGGCGAGCCGATGATCGTGGGGGATGTCGAGCAACTGGTCCTTGCGATCGAAAATGGCCTGCAGTCTTTTGATGACGGCACTGACCTTGGAGCCTACGATGGCGACGAGATCGATGGGATCACGACGTGCGAAGGAGGGGATAGGTGGTGCAGAGATATGGTACTGGAGAGGGACCGTAGGGGTGGATGGGACAACGACTGGTGGCGGTGTGGTGAGACGTGCAGCGAGCGGTCTGTTGAGTGGCTGGGAAGAGGGTACAGATGGGGGGAGGGCCTTACGACGAGGAATGATAGGGGTATGCCGATATTGACGGCGGTGACGAAGACGATCCGAAGTGTCGTCTGCAAGGGCGTGGTCAATCTGGGACTGGACGTCGAGGTGACCGTGTCTCTTGAAGTGACGACGGGTAAACTCTGGTAGGTCCGAGTCGGATGGAAGGATAGTGGGGGGGGATGATAAATGTTTCAAAAAACTCCTGGGAGAAGAGATCCGGTCCGCAAGTGGTTGAGACACTCCACGGAGGGGATGGGTAAGAGACTTGATCTAATGTCACAGCCAACGAGCTGTGCCACCAAAACAAACAAGGGCAAAGCTTACTGGTGCAGAGGTTGGTGCTGAGAAGCGAAGCAACCCGAGGTGACACAGCAAGAGATGTGAAGAGGTGTATTCCCTAGACTAGAAGGGGCAGTAGAAGGTAGGGCTGCTAGCTACCTACAGAGGAGATGGGTGATCGACGAGAAGATCAAGTCTGAGGTTCCCTGCCTCAGACTCCCTACTATATATACTAATACAATGGTGCACAGACCAGGTACCTATTGACCATCGTTTGGTCAGAGTTCT